TGCACGTAATTTGAATCGACCCTTGTTGTGTAATAGCCTAATAAAATTTTCCAAAGACTTTTGTAACACACTGTATATAAACTTTATGTGGGAATCAACCAATAAAAATTTCGTGTGACAATGTTTATTTTTTATTATAAAAATGTTAAAAAGTTCTTTGTTAAAAAAATTCTGTATAAACATCGCAATGATTTATTGAAGCGAGGATTTAATGAAAATGAATAACTAACAAAAAGCGTTTTTAAAACCTTTTGGTTTTTATATGATTTTAATATTGGCTTGATATGAGCGATGTATCGAATAATATGTAATATACATTCTTAAATAGATTTTAATTGACTGAAAACAAGTTCCGAGTGTTATATTTATGTGCAAAATAAATTTTTATCAGAAAATCAAGTTTTTATAAATATAGTAATAGGGTCTACCTAAAATTCTTTAAAATTGTCATACCATTCCATTTTATGAAATATTTGCTTCTCTATTATGCTTAGAAAATATTTGAGGATTATTACATCCTCAAAAATTAATTTCAGAAATAACTTCAGAATTAAATTATTCAGATTTCGACAAATTTATTTCTCAAAAATGAATCAATTAGAAAATAATAAAAAGGCAAATCATTTAGAGAGAACAAGTCATATTGAACGACAAAAGGTTTTAAAAGTTTAAATTTTATTATTATTATTATTATTATTATTTTTGATAATTTTATTTAAACTTTATTAAAATTTTTATCTTTTCATATTTATATTCAGGATAAAATTTCTGCTAAAATAATTTCAATAACAAATGTCACTCCGACTATAAAAACTTTTTTATTTCATTCACCTTCATCCTCATCTTCATCATTAGATTTTCTTCCTGGTCAATGGTTAGATGTTTTTATTTCATCAATTTCAATAGTTGGTGGATTCTCCATCACTTCTACTCCTCAACTATATTCTAATACAAATACTTTTGAATTGGCTATAAAAAATTCAAATCATCCTCCAGCAAAATGGTTTCATGAGATGGCAAGAATTGGTGACATGGTACAAGTTAGAGTTGGTGGTAATTTTGTTTGGAATGAAGAAATTGAATATCAACAAGGAACTGAGAGAATAATATTTATTGCTGGTGGAGTAGGAATGAATCCATTGATGAGTATGATAGAAAGTATTTTAAAGAAATGTGAAAAGGAATATAATATTGATGAGATAAAAAATTATGTTGATAATAAAAATAACAATAATAATAAAATAAAGATTGGAAAAATTAGATTATTATATAGTGCTAAATCATTTGACGAATTACTGTTTTATGATCGAATAGAAAATTTACGAAAGAAATTTTCAAACATATTAGAATGTAAATATTTCTTAACCAGAGATTATCCACCATCATCTTCATCATCTTCATCTGCCAAAATTTCCGCTGGTAAAGAATTTTATTATCAAAAAAGGATAGACCAAGAAATTTTAAATAAAATAATTGAAATTGAGCAAAATAATTTAACTAAATTAAAATGTTTTGTATGTGGACCACCAGAAATGGAAGATAATATTATAAAATGGTGGAAAGAAGCTGATGTAGATGAGAAAAGAATCTCATATGAAAAGTGGTGGTGATTTTATTTTATCTTTTATATAATTTTGATAGATTATATTATTTTAAACAACACGTGAATATTCTTTTAATCTTTTTTATTATGGATTTGGTTTTTTTTTTCACCTTTTTTTAAAAAAAAATTCAAACAAACGAGAGAGAAAATTTTATACAACATGCTCAAAAAAGAAATTTTCGAATTTTTATATATGTAGATAATTTTTATGTATTTTAAAATTCAAACTGTTTTTTTCTCCCCTTAATTGAATAACAAATTTAGCCAATATAGATCGCTGTTGTTTTTTGTTTACATTGTTGATATCTGTCTGGAAGAACGGTTTAAAATGCAAGGTTTTAACTCCAGATAAAAATCAGAGTCAAAAAGAAGGTAACATTATATTATAGAACAAGTGGTGAATCAAAGATAGAGTATTACTTTAACTAAATAATGTAATTACAAAAATAAAAACAACACTTAAACACTCAATCAGTTGTTGTCAATTCGGTTTCGTTAGCATTTTGAGGATTCAATTTATTATAATGTTAATTCTATTACAATAATGCCATTTCTATTAACAATAATAAACATGTTAAATAATACATATAGTATATAATGGTAATAATGTGATTCTAATAAAATAAGAATAATAAGACTAATAATTAATGGATAGAAGTAATAAAGTTAATAAAGAAAGGTAAAATAATAAAGATTGTCAAATTTTTATCCCGAAGTCTACTATATTTAATGAATATTAAGATTTATAATCACGTTTATTCATATTACTAAATGAGACAAATGTAAAATAGAAGATATTTTAAATTCTCCCCTCCGACAATAATAAGAACAGTAGTAAACAATACTTTTATGAATCGCGTATTATTATTCGTTTAATAAAGATATTTTTTTTAGTAAATGATTACTATTTAAGGGCACATTATGCATGCACAAAGTTTAAAAGCTAATCTCCCATCCTGGTAAAATTCCCAGAAAGAGTAAGTTTATGCAATCTATCTCGGGCTTTTTTTTTTTTTTTTGATAATTTGATTTTGTTCGTTTATGTGTTAGTGCCATACCAATACAACATAAGCACAAACCCTGTCAAAAAATAATTAATATTCATTCCTTTTATATATTTAATAACGGTATTATTGTTATTGTAAGAATTGTTGGATAATAAAAATGTGATATTTTTAATTTGATTATAAAATTTTATTTTTTACATCTTGAAAGATGGATCTAAGAAAAATGCTTAAATTTTTGTAAGAAAAAGTAAAACTATATGAATTGAAAAATAGAAAATGCAAATAAAGAAATAAATATTTAAGAATTATTTTTAAAAATATCATTCAACATCCAGTATTAATAATATTTATTTTTTTAGCGGGATAAAAGTAGAAGTTCAATAATTAAGTTTGATCCGTTTTCCTCGAATAAACTTCTTCTTCACTAAAAGAATAATCACTTGATGTTATTGAAAAATAATTATTATTATTCGCCTTGGGATAATTATTATTTATCTCTGGATAATTATTATTTATCTCTGGATAATTATTTTTCCCTGGATAATTATTATTTATCTCTGAATAATTATTATTTATCTCTGAATAATTATTATTTGTCTCTGGATAATTATTATTATTATCCGTTTCTGGATAATTCGGTGGAAAATCTTTACAAGGATCAAAAAAGAATGGAATAAGATGAGATTCATTATGAGAAGGATAACTTGTATCAATTTCAATTTTATCTTTATCTTGTGGTATATGCGGAAATGATACCATGGTTATGGGAATAATTACTTCATAAAATTCTATGTTAGGAAGTAATTTTCGAGTTTCCCATTGGATAACGCATCTTATTGTATAATATACCCTTAAATGGTTGCCTTTATATGTGGGAGGTACGTAATGAAATTTTTTAGGTATTAATAAAGAAAATTCAAATTCTCCCGGAGTTTTCCTCCCAACATCACATTGTCTTTTGGTAGAAACAAGTGATCGTTCGTGTTTCTCAGAAACAATAAGTTGATTATTGTTATTATTCAAAGGACCTTCATAATGTTTACGAAGAGAACATTGCACACAAGTTATACGTCCACCGGATTGATTTGCTAGACGAAGTAGACATTTTAATTCTTCCCCTAAAAAAAAAATAAATAAATAAAAAAAAATAAATAAAAAAATAAATAAATAAATAAATAAAAAAAATAAAATAAAAAATAAAATAAAATAAAATAAAATAAAATTTAAATTGTTATTAATTATTATTATTATTTTTTATTATTACCAGGAGAATAAACATGTTTAGGTAGAATTGCTTCAACATTTATTGAAGGTCTATCCAAAAATTCAGCAAATTGATATTCCTCATCAGGGGGGGCAAACCATATAGGTACAAAAGGAGTCACAACTTCTGGTCCTTCGTCAAGAGGACCTCCAGTTCCTTCGATCACAGGTTGCCATACATAACGTATTGAAAAACCCTTTGGTCCCTTGATAATAAAACCAATAATAATAATGTATTTTAATTACATTTAAAGTTCTTCTTATTAATAGTTCTTCCTATTAATGGTTCTTCCTATTAATAGTTCTTTTTCATTATCCAAAAAAAAAAAATATATATTTCATAATAATAAAATAACTACCTCAACAGAAGGTGGAAAATTAACAGGAGGTAGCTTTAATAATAAATTTTAAAAATAAGTTATATTTTCAGTTAATTCTTTATAATATTTAACAATTAAAACGTAATTTCATTATTACCTTTGTTAAATATTATTAATATTTATCAATATTATTACAACAATGAATTACCTTAAGTGCAAATTCATATTTATATACACCAGGATAAAATTCTTTCCAAGGAATATATTCGGCTAATGTGAGAAAAAATATAAATAGAATAAATTAATTTATGTAAATTGTTTAAATTAAATTTTATAAATTTTATAAATTAAAATTATATAAAGATTTATTAAATTTATTTATTACCTTGAGATTCCCAAACAGTATAATGACAATCAAAAAATATTGTTCGTGCAGTTGGACTTGAACTATTTATTGTTACAGTTTCTTCACCTTTAAAAATAGAACAGTATTAAAGATTGGATTCTATCAATATACTGAGTGTGTATGTATATATATATATTTATTTATATATTATATTATGTAATAATATGTAATAATAATAATTATTATCTAATCACACCTCTAAAGTTTATTTTAATATTAGATACCCATAATGTTCTACTATTCTCTGGTATTATAAACACTACGCAACCTGTAATTTTAAAGTTTTGAATAAAGTTAAATATAAATTTTATTTTAATAACTTAAAAAATAATAATAATAATTTTTTTTTATTACCTCTTACAACTTGATTTGGTCTTAGTTGCAAAGTCCTTCCCACTTCAAATTCCACACCAAGTTGTGTGAGTTTAATATTATTTGATAGTTTAAATTCTTGACTATTTATTGAACCTAACTTCCAAGTTCTCGTCATTTTTATCTAATATATCGTAGAAAAGTAATTCAAGTTTCCTTCAACCCTATAGAGCACAGCAAGCAGTCAGTAAAATACAATAAAAATATTTCAAAAAATACTTTAATTTTTCTATAAAAAGGAATCATCTAGAATTTATTCTTAGTATCACAAAGTTGGTATAGTTAAGTATTTCGCGTTTTCAAATATCATGTTGTCAGAGAAATAAAAATTTAAGATATCAATGAATATAAGATAATTACTTAAATGACTTAAATGTAGGACGACAATTATAATAATCAATAGTGTAAAAATTTATAAGGAACAAATTTATAATGTGTCGCAAAAATTTCTTAAAAAGAGCATCTCATTGCATCACGGCAGATCAATAATTAACGAATATGTGTTAATTGCATATTTTTTGTAACATTTAAAGAATTGTAAATTTAATTTTTTTTTTTATCTGTTCATTGAACCGTTTTTTTCTTTAGCTTTCGAATTTTTTTTAATAAATTTTTCTTTTCTTTCTAGTTACTGTTAAAATTTTTTTACTTATTAAAATAAAGCATAAAAAACTCGAATTACATAATTACCTAATTTACTTAAGTATCCAATTAGAATTATCTTATCTGCATGTAAAATAAAAAATAAAAAAAAATAATAGAATTAGAATATCAACATGAGCGGTTCAAGTACTACAACACTTACAGTTCTAACATTGAACTGCTGGTAAGCAAATAATTTAATTCTGTAGTTTTTTCATTGTTTAAAAGTTGAATAAAAAAATATTAAAAGTTGAATAAAAATATAATAATAATAATTTCAAAAAAAAATTTTAAAAAAAAAAAAAAAAATTAAAAATTAAATAAAATGAAAAAAAGGGGTTTAAAATTCGTCTCCAAAAAAAGAAATCAACGAATGGAAGCCATTGCTGATAATCTAGCTCGCTCCGACTATGAAATTATATGTTTACAAGAAGTTTGGGTATACGATAATTACGAGCTAATCAGAAATAAGATTAAAAAACGATTTCCATATGCTAGATTTTATCATAGGTAAATTATTATTATTATTAATATTATTATTAATATTATTATTATTATTATTATTATTATTATTATTATTATTATTTCCTTTTATAACAATTTACGATGATCCTGTTCTGTGACATTAGATTATTGCTTATGTAATTGAAATGCTAACCAGCGTGTAAAAACGTATAAAAACCTGTATAAATCACATGTCTAACAAAATCGTTTAATTAGTGGCGTTCTTGGTGGTGGACTCGCTATCTTTTCACGATATCCTATCGTTGAAACTAATTTTCATCCTTACCGTTTAAATGGTCGACCAATTCAGGTCAATCACGGTGATTGGTATGTAGGTAAAGGGATAGCTAGTGCAGTGGTTGATCATCCCGTGGCAGGATTAATTGAGATATTCAATACTCACGTATGATTTCTTTTTTAATATTTTACTTTCTCACCGAAAAATAATAGTAATAAAAAAAAAAAAAAAAAAAAAAAATCAAAAATCAAAATTTTATCTAATTTATCTAAAATTTATAGACTCACGCAGGTTATGGGTCAAAGGCTACCGACGTGTACTTGGGTCATAGAATATCTCAAGGATGGGATGCATCAAATTTAATGAAAATATCTGCTTCGAGGGGTCGTAATGTTATTGCTGTAAGTAATTTGAAATAATTAGATTAATTATCATCTTTAATGAAATAATATTAAGACAATTGAAAATAAATTTATTTGATAAAATTAAAATTTTAAATTTTTTAAATTTAGGCTGGTGATTTCAATACTGAACAAGATACTTTAGTGTATAAACTTATAACACAAAATGGACAAATGACAGATGCTTGGCAATCTCAACATTCTTCTACTCCAGGTAGTGATTCTACCACATCAATTACTCAACCTCAAGGTGGATTATCTGGAACTGATCCTAATTCTGCTATAGTTCAAAAAGGTGTCACTTCTAATTCACCAATAAATACATGGACTAAACGTTCACGTAAACAATCAGCGCGTGATTTGGGACAACGTATTGATTATATATTTTATCGTAAAACATCAAGATTTTGGTGTAGTGGATCTCGCGTCGTTTTTGTAGAAAAAATTCCTGAATTAAATTGTAGTTACTCTGATCATTTTGGCGTAGAAGCAACTTTTGCACTTGTTGGACGTGACAAAAATTCGGTTATTCCATTATCTGTCTGGGAACAAGTTCCTTATACTTTACGTGAATTAGATTCTCGCACACTTAAGAATATAATTGATTATTTTAACAAAGATTTAATTAATTCACAAAGAACTTCTCGTTTACAATTACTTTTATTTTGGTTTTCCCTACTTTTGGTAATTTTTTTGATTGCTATAGAATTATTAATTGCTATAGGTACTATATCAGCTAAAGCTTGGATAAGCATTATAATAATCGTAGTAATTGGACCTCTGGCAGTATTCGGAAGTATTATAGGATCAATTGGATTTTTATCCGGAAATACGGAACAAAACGTTTTAAGTCAATTGATTGAAGAGGTTAAAACTTTTAACGATGGAAAAAAAATTCTTGAAAGTAGAGAAAGTAAAACTAGCAGTGAAGGATTTTCTGATAGCAGTCAAAGATCTTCGGCTCGGCTGGAATAAATATTAAAGCTGATTTAAGGTATCGGTTGTAATGGTTGTAAAAAAAAAAAATGGTAATTTTTTATTTCATTTATAGTTTTTTTTTTTATATTTTTATTTAATTAATGTATTAATATTTAATTATTGTGTGTATAATAGTTTTCATTTTCTATTACTTGAATTTATCTTAAAAATCTCAAATTTAAAATTTAAAATATTAATTAATGTGTTGGATAATTTTTAAAAAAAAGATTTGCTTATTTTTTTTAGTAAACAAACAGTTATAATTAAACAAGCTATATTTTTTAAAATTGTTAACTGTAGTCTAATGTACAAATTTTAAATCCCGAGATTTCTTTTTTTTTTTTTTATTTCTCAAAAATTCACTTCTCTTTTAATTTCTAAGATAGACAAAATTATATATATCATTACAATAATAATAGTAAATTTGAATAATAAAAGATACTAATTAACCTTTCTCTATTCCTCTCCCTGGTAATATATATATATATATATAAAGAACGTTATTGTTTATTGAGAATTATGGATTTATATATCTATATTTGTTGGAATTATAGAATTATCTACAAAAAAAAAAAAGAATAAAGTAAATAACTAAAATAAGTAAAGTGTAAAAATAGGGAGTACACAATTAAAAAAAAAAAAAGCAATAATAAGAATGCTATACATAACCATAACTATAACTATACAAATATACATAACTACACATAAAAAATAAAATTTCATATATAATCGACTAATTATTAGGAATGATACTGTAGCGCTGCGTATTATAGACGAATTTATTGATTATTTTTCGTTATTTTTTATTTTAAAAACAATCAAAATCGATGGGACCAACATCTTCTATTGTTAATATAATTTTAGCATGTGATAACGGTACGCACGAAGTCATCTGGAATATATTCAAGTAGAACTTAATTTTTTAAGAGGGATGTCAAGTAATATAGATTTTCATTACCATATTCAAAACTTAAATATTGTTTTGGTGAAGTTAGTAGTGATTCTGGCTAGCGATTACGAATAATAACATTATCTTTCGTGTCATGTTCGTATCTTGCTTGGTAATCTAATATTATTTTATCATGTATAAAAATAGAATATTAAGACCAAATAAAGAACTAATGGTGGTGTCGTTCTTTCTTTGTTTCATTTCGTTTCTTTCTTGATTTACTTACTTAACGTACTTAACGTGATTTCTTAATATTAATAAATATTAATTCGAATTTACACAATTGAATTATTGAAGAGATAATGACAGTATTATTGATTTTTATTCACTCCTATTTAAAAACTTATATGCTTGCTTATAAAATATAGATTTAAGAGATATGATTTCCAAAGATAGAATTTTTTGAATGTTATTTCATTCAACTAAATTTATTTATTACTATACTTTAATATAAAAATAAATAAATTAATTAATAAATAAAATAAATAACTTAATAATAAATGAATGAATAAAATAAAGTTAATAAATAAAATAATTAGTTAATAAATAAAACCAATTTATCTCAATTATATATTTAGTATAAAGACTAAAAACATAATTATAAAAAGCTCTGGAACTCAAAGTTTTTGTGCTTGATCACACAAAGCTTTTAGATTTTTAGATGACTGTGGCCTTGATTCACAGCAGAATAGGCACATAAGAAATCCATATATTTGTTTCCTTCCGGGTCCCATACATAAGCACCTTTACCTGAGGGAAAAACAACTGGTAAAGGATGATAACTATAAATTTAAATTTATTATGTTAGAATTCTAAGTTCGTCACTTTGTTACCACTGGGCAAAATTAAATTTACGTGGCAAAGCTAGTTAAAATCTAAAATTTTTAAAAAAAAACCGGAAAAGAAAATTTTATAAATGCTTTAATTTAGGAATTTTTGAACATTTCATTATTCACTACATATAATATATGTACTTAAAATTAAAAGTTAGGGTTGATCAGGGAATTATGTAATTTTGCCTGGTAGTGACGGTGAGCTTTAGCAATACCTATTTTTAACTAGCAGAGTCTTTCATTATAGAATTAATCATCACATTATTAAACATGCATAAACAAAGAGCTATAATTTGTCTAATATACAAATTTTTACTATTGCATTCCTCATTTACATCTCTGATATTTCTAATGTTTGTAATTATAATGCACGTGATAAATCGCGAAATTTCAACTTTGATGATCTTTCATTATGCGTATAAACAGTTAGGCAAAAATACACCAAAGTTTGTTGAATCAAATACTTTTTATTACGTTTATAACTTAATGTTTCGCTTAGATTTGTTAGATATTGTATTATATATAAATGTTGCAACTCACTCAGTTGTAAAAACGATTTAAAGTTCCTTATTAAATGATGGTAAATGCAAATAAGTAGTAATACATACATCTTGTTACGCGATAGGCTTAATAAATTTTGCTCCTAATAATTTTTAGTAAGTTTGCCATTTCATTGAAGTACTATAAAAAGAGAGCTTAGGAACCTCTTGTTAAATTTTAACAAAAAATTTTTACAAAAATTTCTCAATATATATTTTTTAACTATGCCCAGGAAACATTCTACTCGTGCTTGCACTGGTTGTACTATGGCCAAAAGAAGGTGTATTTTAATGCCTTCCGAAAAAAAATTGTGTTGATAACAAAATCGTAAGGAAATCCGCACTTTTAAAATTCAGATTAAAAACGAGGTCCAAAAACGAAAGAAAGTTGAATCTCCATCCGTTGAGGAAATATTTTCTTTTAATATAAATTATAACTTTTTACCGAATGAAGGTATGTTGGATAAATATGAACATAATTGAACATAATTTTTTGCATTTATTAATTAACTTATCATATGTTGATTAACAGCACCAATTTCATACAAGTTTGGTTAAACATATATTAATGATCATAAAAGAGAATTTTAAAATATTCCACTCTCACGTGAGATCCGATCTAACTCCAATTGTTGATATTTTTCCATTTACAGGGGTCGTCTAAAGCCAGGTACATCACGAAATTTTCCGTTGACTATGGCCAATAAATTCGTGAATTTTTGTTTACACGGATCAGCCCGACGAAGAAAAAAGTGAAAAACACGAAAAAATATAAGAAACGGATGTCTAAACATGTCTTGGTACATTAATAAAAAGTGTCGGGGAGGAAATTTTACATATTATATATATTAAATTCTAATCTATACTTGACCTTAACCCTAGCATTAATTAATTTAAGGTAATTTCGTGATGTACCCGGCTTTAGACATCCCCCATTTACAGTATACAGTCTCTCTATAATCACACTCTATATAATCACATCTTTCTATAATCACTACAACTTCTATGTAGGACGAACCGAATTTCTAATTAAAAGTTTCTTATATAATCACATTTCGTCTATAATCACTATCGCCAATTTTTTGAGCCCTGTACTTAGTAATGCTTCTCCCATGTAATCACCGATCATTTAGATGCACATTTAAAATCATATGACAATATGCTTAGATGTTTAACAAAGTATATCGCTTTCTAAAAAAAACAAAAAAGAATTAAAAGAAGTGCAATAAATGACTCTCAGTGTATTGACATTTGTACATATGTAGTGCAACATCCCTCAATAAGTCATAATAACATTGCAGCTTTCTTTAGTTCAAAATATGGTCTTAATATTGAAAAGTCTACTATCACTAAAATTCTATCACAACAAAAGAAATGGCTCTCTTCTGAAACTTCTACAATTGTAAAGCATCATGATGTTGTTAACTGTGATCCAACCTTCAATGGATACAATTAACTATTAGCTAAAGATACTATAGCTAAACTAAATTATAATAAACTACTAACTAATTTATATTAAAAAGTATGATGTTTGAAGGATTTAGATGTTACAGATTTGTTTGAAAGAGGCAAGGCTATGAGATTTTTATAAAGGTTTAACTAAACTATTCACAAAGAATATAACTAAACTAAACTAAA